ATTAATTTTTTTTTTTTTGAAAATTCATGAGCACCATTTTATTTCGTCCTGAATGATTTCAAGTGCTACACAAGACTGCATGATATTCACTTGAAATATACATATACCTTTGTAAATATCCATCTTGAGGGATAATTTCGTTCACAGGCACCGCTCTTAGAGCGCCTTAAGGATTTTCCAGTGGTGCTTGAGTTTTGTTCTAAAAAAAGATGCTTAGTATATTTTTTTTTCAAAATTCACAACCACCTCTTTCAATCTTGAATATGATCCAATATTTGTTTGGTTGATATTCCAAATTTTCAAGGCTAATATTTCAAGTACGAAAAGCAATCCTTCGTGTCAACAGAAATTATTGTTATCAATTTCGAAATAAAACTATTCTCAAGTTTTGATGAAAATTATATGTTTAGGAGGAAAGTGTTGAATAATTCTGAATTTTAAATAACTGTATTTATTCAGTATCAAATAATTTAAGATCTTCAATAAACCACTGAATTAATTTTTTTTTGTTTCAAGTCATTTTAATTATAAATTGAATATTTATAATTTATGAATGAAGGTCTGACTGTACTTTCTTCCAAGCACTTAGTGGCCCACGATCTGGTCTGTATTGGACATTGCAACCATCAGGAGCCAATCGACCTTCTGATTTCAAAGTTTCATATTGCTCTCGTTCATATTTAGTGAATCCCCATTTCTTGGAAACATAAATCTTCTGACGACCACTTCCGAAGAAAAAAAGGAATCGATTCCAAAAAATCAATTCAATACAAAGATGCGTAGATCATGCGAAGAAGTAACTTTCAGACGCAAACTGGAAGAAAAAGCCCTCTCGAAACAACTTTTTTCATACAATGTTTATATGAAAGTTACTTATTTGCATGATCTACGCATCACTGTATAGAGTTAATTTTTTGGAATTGATTTATTCCTTCCTTCAAAAGATTCCCACATTTTTGTGTATCAAGATGGAGAAGCAGAAGGGCAAAAAACCTTTTTCCCAAAAAACAAGATTTCTATGGATGAGATTTAATCAAATAAGCGAATGCGAATGTTATTTACATACTGTCATCAATTACATGAGTGGATTCGACCCATTCCGTGACAAAAAAGTCGTAATCATGGATGAATTGAGTGTTTTTTTATAATGTTTTTCGTATTTGCTATTGAAGAGCCGATATGGCAAGTATCTTGCGGCGAAACATCGGATGTCTATAGCAGTGAGGATGACAGTGTTCCATGTGAGTGAAATTTCATTTCTTTCATTAATTATATTTTGTAGAAATCCTGTGAATGATATCTGATTTGATTCCATACGAATGTTTAGAATACAAACGGAATATAAAAAAATGTTTTTCGTATAATTCAGCGTTCAAATAAAAGTATTTGTTTCTAATTTGTTTTGTAAATATGATTGTTTCCAGAGGGCTTTTTTCCAGTTTGTGTCTGAAAGTTACTTCTTTGCATGATTTACGCATTTTTGTATAGAGTTGATTTTTTGAAATTGATTTCTTTTTGTTTCTTTGGAAGGCTCCCACGATTCTTTCATTAAGATGGAAAAGTAAAATGTCAAAAAACTTTCTTTCTCAAATGAGTATCATTTTTACCAACCCTACTGTTTTAACAGTAAATTAGCTGTTTTCACATTGATGCCTTTGTTCTATGTTACATTCCTGGTTTTTATTGTTTTTCAGACAACGTTCAGTGCCACCTTTTACACTATGCAAATATTTTTTGATAACCACAATGTAATAAACTGTAATGACACTAGATCGCAGTATCTACTCTTGTAGGGATTAAAGTTGTAAATGGCTAGTGTCAATAAGAATGTAAAATGAACTCTTTTTTGAAGATAATATGTGCTAACAAGAGTCGAAACTTTCACCAAAGATAAATTTCTGAAAAATACCTAAAATTCGACCAATTTCTTAAACACGACAAATGACAATTAAAAAATCTTCTGACACTAAAGCTGATTTCCGAGCTACCCAATCACATTTTTTCCACGTTCATGTAAATACTGAATAGAGAATGTAATTGAGGCAACAGATCTGCGATATCGAAAACTTGCTGAACAAGAGATTCTACTATTTTTTGTATCATTTTGTTCACAAGTAGATGTGTATAAAATATTTAATATATTTGAATTTTTGTCTTTGCTTGGCCTGTCAAAATAAGTAGTCTCCGAGACTACACCTGACCATTAACGTAACAATATATCTCCGAACCGGTTATAGGTTATGACGAGCTCTTGGTGAGGTGTTAAAATAACGGTTAAGATGATCACTTGGTGATTGAAACACATATCAAGTCGTAAAAATAACGGTTTGATTTTGGGATGAAATTCCAATAATAAACTATCACTAGTTGGCAATGATGATAGTCAAGGATGGGTTTCATAAGAGTTGAGGAGCAGTTTGCCAAATACCTCCCAAATAGTAGATATTATAATCCCTGTTATGACAATGATTGCTCATGTAATGTGGTGGTCATAAAGTGCAAAAAACTCACCTATCAGCTCCAGCACAGGACAACATTTTATTTATTCTGATAACATGGAATGGATGAAGTCTCATACGTATATGAAACTGATCTTTTCCACAATTCTTGACCAAGTATTTGTTACAGCAAATACGCCCAGCTTCCAGCGCTTCGGAACTAAGTTGTTCATATTCATCAGAAACCAAATGTACACAAAGAGGAAAGTCATCAACTGGAGCTTTCTTTTTACCAAGATCGAAAATTCGAATCTTAGAATCTGGTACACCACGACAGAAACGAGACTTGGGGTATGGTTTATTTTTGCAATAACGATAACTGAAAAAAAAGTCGGTGTATAGACAAAAACTTGTAATTGGAAAGAAATTAGGACTTACCATCTGGCTGGTCGTCTACCCATCTTGTTCTAAAAAAAATATAGTGTTAGTGACAAAAATAATACAGCAGATATATAAATCAGGTTGAAGTACAGTAAAATAATATATGAAATACTTCAAAAATAGTAAGATTGTTGAAATAATATTGAACACAAACCTTGTGAAACCTCACAGTCCCAAGACGAAATATGAAGAAATAAAAACTGGAAAATCAAATGACAGTAATGAATAATGACAATTGACTAGTGACATAGAACATAAGTACCAGTTCAAATTGAAAGGGTATATTTTTGGCCTTCTACTTCTCCATCTTGATACAAAAATGTGAGAATCTTCCGAAGAAAAGAACGAATCGATTCCAAAAAATCAATTCCATACTAAGATGCGTAGATCATGCAAAGAAGTAACTTTCAGACGCAAACTGGAAGAAAAAGCCCTCTCGAAACAGCTTTTTTCATACAATGTTTAAATGAAAGTTACTTCTTTGCATGATCTACGCATCACTGTATAGAGTTAATTTTTTGGAATTGATTTATTCCTTTCTTTGAAAGATTCCCTCATTTTTGTGTATCAAGATGGAGAAGCAGAAAGACAAAAAACTTTTTCCCAAAAAAACAAGATTTCTATGGATGAGATTTAATCAAGCGAATGCGAATGTTATTTACATACTGTCATCAAATACATGAGTGGATTCGACCCATTCCATGACAATCCTGTGAATGATATCTGATTTGATTCCATACGAATGTTTAGAATCCAAACGGAATATAGAAAAGTGTTTTTTGTATAATTCAGCGTTCATATAGAATTATTTGTTTCTAATTTGTTTTGTAAATATAGTTGTTTCCAGAGGAAACAACTATATTGTTTTTGTACAGAGTTGATTTTTTGAAATTGATTTATTTTTGTTTCTTTGGAAGATCCCCAGGTTTTTTTATTAAGATGGAAAAGTAGAATGCCAAAAAACTTTCTTTCTCAAATGAGTATCATTTTTACCAACCCTACTGTTTTAACAGTAAATTAGCTGTTTTCACATTGATGCCTTTGTTCTATGTTACATTCCTGGTTTTTATTGTTTTTCAGACAACGTTCAGTGTCACCTTTTACACTATGCAAATATTTTTTGATAACCACAATGTAATAAACTGTAATNAGCTTTGATTTCTTATTTAGTTATTATTTATTACTGACTTTGAATTTTTGGGACTGATAATAGTATGCTAACTGTATCAATGTTAATTATATATGACTGATTTATATTTTCATTTTGTCTTAAAACTACTTGTGTGATAATATTGATTATGTATGTAAAGCTTTGATTTATTATTTAGTTGTTATTTATTACTGACATGTTCTACACTCCTCTGAGTTTATATATGTACATTATATGTAACCGGAGCAAATAGAGATCTGAGTCTTAATTACGCCCCTCTTTTGTTTCGGCTGGTGGTTGAAAGATTTTATTCAGATTCCTGCCTGTATGTGTTGATTTTTTCGGCACCCAATGCTAGTCTTTCCGTTCCATTGTTAATTGGATTTTTGGGTTAAGGAAATTCAGATGCGAGAGAAATTTGTTGAGTTGTTCTCCATCGTGCTGCCATACCACAAACGTATTATCAACATCCGTTTATTCATAGAAAACATCGTCTGCCGGAAATGTAACTAATTAGCTGCTTCTTTGACTGGAATCATCGTGTCGCAAGGAGACCACATCAAAGCTCACTGGCGTGCCTCTTGGGCTTAACCTCATAATTCTATTCTTTTCCACATTTTACCGAATTGGTATTATTCTGAAGAAACACAGAAACAAATTAGTATTCAGGCCAACAAAAGGTCAGGAAAGGATACGAGAGCCTTTAGCAACACTTAGGGTGTATCGGATTCCTTGTAGCTGTGGGTCAGTTTGCATTGGAAGAAGGGAAAGTACTCTGGTCTTTGAACACAAGGGGCATACAGACAAACCAGCAATAGTTGGAATCCTCTCAGTGAGGGTACCCACATTGTCACGTTTGAAGAGACCCAGGTACTTTGTAGAATTCAGAGCTATTACCTAAGACTAGATATAGAGACAATAGAATTTCAAAAATAAGACTTGAGTTGTTGATATCAATGTTGGTGTACCTAATTCAATTACACTAGTAAAAAAAGATTAATTAATTAGACAGTTAGAAAACGAAGTTACGCCCACATTTGGAACACAGCCAGAGACTACAGCCTAAAATGTAGTATCTGCTGAGAAGAACCTGAGCATTTTGTCCGTTGCCTATCACCTTTCATGTCTACCGCAATTGTAACTTAAACCAGTCAACGAACCCGGAAAATAGCTACAATGCAATACACATGACTTCAACATTCATTGCCTTCTTTGTAATGACAATCATTTTCCATGTTTTCACCGAATACTATCAATTTTTTTTCCTACTTGCATTATTTTCATTTCTTCAAATTGAAATATAAAAAAAGAATATTCTGATCAACCTAAAAATTGTTAAGGCATATGGATATCATGAATAGCTTGAAGTAGATAGATATTACCGATCGGTCCCACTGTCCCCAACAATTTATGTAAAATTTGGTCTTTCAATATAAGAGAGAATGAAAGAGAATACTGGAGATATCTTTGAAAAGAAACATCATGAATTACATGTGTTCTCGTAACATATCAATTTTTTTCATCTGAGAATATCAGTCGGTGCTGTATCTTCCAACTTTTGTTCTGTTTAACCAACCTTGTAAAACCTAAAGATGCCGAAATAGCAGTATATGCTAAAAATAAAGACCTACATATAAAATTCGGCAAATATTAATACATGTACCTTGCTAAATTGCCATCTTGATGGGTAATTTCGTTCTCAGGTACTTCAAAATTATTCACGAAAAGTATTAATTTTTTTTTTTGCATGCTATTTCCTGAGCTTTTCAATAGATTGAGTTCAATGATTCAAAAAAATTATTTTTTTTTTGTCAGATCAGGCAAATCCCTCTAGATAATCGTCAGATTATGAGACAGCACGTCCAGAACATAAAGATGAACGATATATATCTTAATCTGACGAGGTTGAGTATTTCAAAATGGTGAATTTTTTTTGCACATTATAATAACGGCCGCGAGTTTTCGTTAAATCGAAATCGTCAGATTATTGGATGAGAGCTTTTTTTTGTTGCACTTAACACTTCCTTAGAAAATCTGATGCGCTCGATTAATTTTTTTTCTTTTCACTTTCAACCCTTATGTACAACCACCTGCATCATGCAAACGATCAGATTAACATACGAACATTATTAAAAATACGTAGGACATTGATGCCATCAATATCTGACGCGCTAACATTGAGAGTACCACTGAAAAATGTATTTACAAAAAAAGCCTTCAAAATGACCACATTTACCTTGATGGAATATACTCGATTTTTCAATATCACTTAAATAAACAAAAAAATTACCTAGTGGGTATGGTACGATTGGCTACTGCCCCGGAGAAAAACAAACACAAATATTCAATTTCAAAGTGAACAAAAGAAAAAAGACTAAAAATCATGAATTTGTTTCATCAGAGGCGTTTTCTGGTGCTCATGTATTCAATATGTATTTGTCTGTAATTCAAATACATTCATTCTGGCGTTGAAATGATGACGTGACATCAATTATGATTTGAAACGTATTCATCATGATTCAGAACTAGCGTGAGGTAGGGTTTGAAACGGAATTTAACATTACGTTATGTTACATCAGTTTCTGCTTTATTTTGATCGTTATAGTTTATAAAGTGCTGAAAACATTTCATCAAATACGTTGTAAGGATGTACAAAATGAGGCTGGAAAATTATTACTTGCACAAATCCAATTACAATTGAAGTTAGAGAAAGTTGAAATGTTTGTTTTTATTATTGTTTTAGACATCTGACACAAATTGAATCACTCCATTCTGGCGAATCTTATTAATAATGACGTAACTACGAATCGTTTTCGAATACACGCTCGAAAATGATTAAGCGCCAGAAAACACCTCAGAACAAGTCAAGGCTGCCATTATGAAAGCTACGACACCTTTCAGCTATGAGAAGTGTTGAATCAACTAGGAAAAAGACTCTGAAACTGATCGTTGGAAGCAAGTTAACTATAATAAAAGGTGCAGATACTTGGTTGGATAATTGATCTGGAAAAAGGGGCAAAAGTTGAAACTTTTCCAAGAATGGTTACCACCTTCCACGTTACTTGGCTAAAACCTAATACAAAACCCAATGAACTGAAAAGTTTTCTGTAACGTTTTCCTAACATTCATTGTAAATCCCATGCCTCTAGAAGACCTGATATTTATGCTTCAATGAGAGTCACAATTAAATGTGAATATTTAAAAAATGCCTGGAGATGCAAAGTGTGACCAAGCAGCACAAGAAAACTTTGATTTCATCTATCTTGGCAAACATTGGGCAAATGATCCAGCAATTAATTGTTTCAGTCTAGAGAATTACCTAATAGCGAATGACTTCTAACGTAAAATCTACAAGTTAGGTGGCATAATCATCTATGGTAAAAATGAAAACACTTTTGAGAAACTAGAAAGCTCTCTCCATAGAAGACGAAATTATGACCATAAATATGTTAATTCCTTGTGTTTACAAATCTCCCAGTGGTCAATTACCAAGAGTTTTTTTATCTCAAGGATACTCTCAAATTTTCATTTTATCAAAAAAAAACTTCATATATGATGATTTTAATATTGATTTATTATGATGGTCTATCTTTTCCGGGTTTTAAAAACCTCATCAAATCATTTGATGGCAACCTTCTAATTAATATACCTACAAAGCTCGTCAGTTGTTTAGATAACTGCATACTAACTCGATCAGTCTATAAGCAAACCAGTATCATTTTCCACAGCATGAAACAAGCCCATTCTCTTATCTCAAGGTGCACGTTTTATAGGTTTAGTTTAAGTTCTTCTTTTTTCAATAATGACTTCAGCTGCTAGCACTATCCAGCCAGGAGTCCTATAATCATGTTGCTACTACAGTAAAGCCCACACTGAAGTGGGTATGGGTCGGACCTAAACCCCACCTGGATTTACGCTAAAACAAAGTTCAACTGTAATTTAAAGTCGATTAACAAACAATGTCCGACTGCACTAGAGTATAAGCTCTACCGTGAGGTGATGCATTACGGTTACGTATATGACCACTACAATCAGGTCATGATTGAGGAAGCACTATATGCGCACAAGTATTAGGTCTGTCTTGGTCACTGTAGCTTTATATTAGATACAATTAGGAATTTGGAAATGGTTTGTATGTTATATGGTGATATATGTTTGAAAAAGATATAGTGGAAAATAAGAGGCCGAAATGTTGAAGGAGGGATAATGAGAGAGGCATGAAACGTTTGTATATTGTGAGAATTATTAAGGCAGGCAAATAAGCAGGCAAATAATATATGTAGGAGATAGGAGAGTGTATTTCCCCACATTTGCAACGGTCATCATCAACTATCTTAAGTTTGTGGAGATGCGCTTTACTAAGGGAGTAAGTGCTCCTAATTCTGCACATATTAACGATTTCTTTACGAGAACAAGTAGCCAGATCCTTTTATGTTTCAATAATGCTTGAAACTCTCTATAGTCTGCTTGAGGATGATTAGAGAGTGGATGGTTTCTTCCAATATTGGCTAAGGTATCTTCTGTCTCGTTACCCTTAATGTTGGAATGACTAGCTAGCCATGCCAAATGCATGCTGTTTCCATATGTGATGGTTCTATTTATCAGTTGTCTGGAACGTAATGAGAAATAATCGCTGTTTACAAATACGGTTGACCAGGAAATTTTTGCCAGGGCACTTTTTGAGTTGCTAAAGATGAGTGCATGTTTGATATATTTGCAACAATATATTGAACTGCTTCTCGGATGACTGTTATTTCAGCTGCACATATTGAAAAGAAAGAAAGTAATCGTTCTGAATGATGTAGGTTATACCGCGTTCATCTTCAGATCCATCTGTTGAAAAATATGCGTGATTGGCAAATTGTTGCTCGGCGAGTCTGAGAAAATCCTGGTCGTTCTCTCTGGAGAGATTCATTTCGTGGTAGGGAATTGGGAAGATTTGACCGTGTAAACTATAGCGGTAACAAAGAAAATTAGGAAGCAGTATAATATCTGGGATGTGAGTTTCTAATCTCATATAGGCAGTAAGGATGGGGGAAAGAAAATAGAGCCGCCAATATGTAGGATATATGTATCATTCAACTCCATTGCGAAATTAATATCAGGATTCACATAAGATAACAATTCACAAGATAACAACCAATTTCGCCTGTGAGCAAGAGGCATTTCGGAGCTTTCTGAGATTTGTGGTGGGTGTTGATCTCATAAAACCCAAAGCTACGCGTAAAGTTTGATATTGTACTTTATCAAGCTGGTAAAACATAGTTTTCGAGCATCTTCCAAAAAATATGCTACCGCTCTCAAAATGTGGACGAACTAAAGCTTTATATAATAGGACCAAGGTAGAAGGAACAGCCCCCCACCACGTCCGACATAGAGACCTCATTAAGTTTATATCCTTTTGTGCTTTTGCACAGGTCATATTTTTATGTGGGCGCCATTATAGCTGATGATGGAAAATTATGTCCAAGTATTTTACCTCTCGTGTCCACGGAATGGGGTTGTTGTTGATAAGAATGTGGTCGCATATATCGGACAAATGTTCATAATGAAATAAATTGATTGGTACTTATTTATTGAAAGAAATAGCCCATGATTTTCAAGAAAGAAAGTTGTGAATTCTCTCAAGAGACACATTGAGATCATATATAAGTTTTCGAGTGTCTGTGCCGGTGCTTATCAGTGCTAAATCATCAGCAAACCAAAATAAAGATACCTGATCTTTCACTAAATGTTTTAAAGGATCGCTATTGATATTGAAGAAAATATGACTGATTGGCGATCCTTGCGGGACCAGGTGCAGGCCCTATTATGCTCCCTGAGATTGGGTCTTGAATACAAAATTGCCGTTTAGTAAAAATATGTCAGATCAATGTTGCGAGATCATATGGAATTGTACACTGAGCCAATCTTTCCAACAGTTTTGGGATGAGAACACGATCGTAAGCTGATGACTTCATGTCTAACAGGAACATTACCACATTGTTACCTGAGGCTAAATTTATTTCAATGATAGAATAAATTTCAATGAGATTCTCAGTGGTACCTCTACCTCGATGAATGCCTGATTGTACAGGATTTAGCAAATTGAGATGTTCCACATGCCAATCTAATCTGTTTTTCATCATGAGTTCTAGAAGTTTATCAGGACAAGATGTGAGGGTAATGGGTCTCTAACCCGACTATGTCGATATATCCTTGGTTTTGGGATAAAGCAGAGTATATCCGTTTCCACTCCATTGGAATGGTACCTAATAGAACTATTCAAGAGTTGTTGAAAACGTTCAGAAGACTCACACAAACGGTTTGCGGTAATTGATGCAATTTACTGTAAGTTATATTCAAGCCCGGTGTGGTGTCTCGTTTGTACCTGAGTGTGTTGCCATGTTTTCGTCTGAAGACTGGGGGAGTCGTCCCTCATCAACTGCTAACCTACACAGGGCTAAACGAGCAAAAGTTTTGCAACTTAAAGCACTCATGAATATAAAGTTTTACTTACTAATGTTTTTCAAGGTCGCATTCACACAAAATTATCGTAGTAAATGGTAACAAAACAAGCAATTTCCACACTAACTTTCAAATTCACCTCGATTCATATGTGGTTATAACTTCCTTATTGCTAAAAAGCATCATTGTTTATGATTAGAATTTAAACTATGGATTTGACAAGTTTCCGATCGAAGATAATTTTTGGATTAAAGTCTGTAAGTTAACGTAAACGATGGATGGATCAGTAGGTACTCAAACTTTAGATCAAGTTGGGCATGCACGAAAATAATAATAAAAATTACTGTGACATGGCAAAGATTGATGTAGATGAAGTTTATTTATGTTATAGATGTACCTATTGTAGCATGTGATTTGTTAACGCTTTAATGCCCAATAGTGGAAAAATTTATATTTTCACATATTTATGTACATTTTTACATTTTGTGGTTGAAGGGACCATACAAATTTTTTCAAGCCGTGTTGTTTTTTATTATTTTTTTTACTACTAACAGGAAGAACTGACTATAAGTTCTCTGTAGCGCACAAGTATACTGCCACAATCATTCCGATAGGTTGCTAATGCATTCATTCATCAGATAAACAAATTACTACCGGTGAAGGTGACATAAGCAAATGTCTGAAATATCTAATATGTTGTTATTGAAGAGCTATTGACGTATTATTACTCAACATGTTCAATCGGTCACTAAAGATTAATATTAAGTTGATTTGTGGAAATAGGTATACAGTTAAAATATTCGAATAGTTCCTTCCTGTGTTTTGGTGGTTGAATTGTGTTAAATTTTGTTCTTAGTGTATTTTCCATAAGTCAGGTACTATATAATTAATGATTTTGTTGATACATTCGACGAACTTCTGTCAGATGAGAAAAGAAGGTATTATAAAAATGTGGTAAAAATTCCAAGAAGGCTTTGACGATTCAGAGAGATGCCAAATAATATTGTTCTCTGGAATGATACGGAATTCATCATACATTTCAGAATGTCTAAACAATCTGTGGAAATGCTGCTGAAACGAATAGTGTATTTGAACGATCAACTCACTTGAGTTTACATAATCAAATGTCGAAAGTATGTTAATGTTTCTTTAAGAACCACAGCTTGAGTCCTGCCACCCAGTTGTTGATAACTCTTGAGTTTTTATGCTTGCGGTACTTATATAATAGCCGCAATTGATTTCGTAGCATTCATAAGTCAATTGTATTTCTTGAATAAATAGCTAATGTGATATATACATCAAGATGCCACAGAATGATGAAGTATTGAGAACAACACATTTTTTTTTAAATTGCTGGCTTTTGAAATGTGATAGGTGCTACAGACTGTACGGATATGAATATCCAATCTCCAGGTACCTATATATAAATATACAAATTCAACTTATCAAACATGTCTCGGATAATGTTCTATGATAAAAAAATTCATTAGCAGTGTTTTTTTGCTATGATTTTGATACTGGTGTACTCATAAAAATTGTTGATACTAATAAATGATATTCTTGAGACATTTATTTGTTATAAATAATTTCAGTAAATTGATGGATAGGTGTAGCCGTTTCTACATAATAGATCATCATGAAAAATTATAAATGAACTTTCCTATGGTAAAAAAAAAAACATAGGAAGTTTCATTTCTCATTTTTCATTAGTAATTCTGGTCATTCTGCTGAAGCAATTGGACATCAACCAGTATTAACAAAATACCGACCAACAACTGTCAAAAAATTTCTTAGAAAATGGCAACATTTCAACAACGAATATAACTGCTATACCTAATCGGAATATATAAAACGGTGAAATGCTGCAGGAGGTTGAAAATTAAATTGAACTGGAGTTTAAACTAGAGTTTCAACCAAACCTATAAAACGGACCCTTTTAGAAGTGTAAGATGGGATGCTTGATGCTTGCTATGCTTTGGTGGTTTGAGGTTTATGATATGAATCAGAAATGCATTTGGTGTTTCTGAAATTACCGCTATTGTGGTTCTACTGGAAAATTGCTGGTTAGATATGGAAACGGCTTCCTGAAAACTAAATAAATAAAGTAAATCACAAAGTAAGTCTCGAGTCACGACATGATTAGGCACGTGGACGCGGCAAAATGTCTTCGTCGCTTGTATGAAATTCAACGCGCCGAACATGACCGATCACAGCGTGGGAACTCCCGAATGCAGTTTCGGTCGTAGTTTCGGCAGGTTTGCCGCCGAAACCGAAACCCGTTTTTTTTGCCGAATAAAATACAAAGAATACATTCATTATCAGTGTATCATTTAACATTGCAATATTCTAAAGTCACGGGATCAGAATAGCTATACGAGTATTTTCAGTATTTTGCGAGAAATTTGTCCACAGTTTTAGAGAATATTGTGCAATTTTCATTGGCAACACTGTGTAAGAATAAACCATAGAAAAAATAAAAATTTCTAGTTTCTAACCTAACACCTCAGTAATTTTATTATCAATAAAGAAACAAAAAATTTTCGTAGTCATCGAAATATTTTGGTGTTTTTTCAAGTATAGACTAACGGTACTCTACTCCATTCTTTTATTTCACTATTATGTCTTTCTGAAGAAGTCATGTGTTTCTGTGGCTTCTAGGTACAACGTAAAAGCAACCTTTTTAAAAGCTGAAATGAGTAAGAGAAAAGTATTTGTTACAGTTGGAACAACTAATTTTCCGAAATTAATAAAAGCTATAACAACTAAGAAAGTTATAGAATCCTTATTAGATTCTGGATATGACTTCGTTCAGTTACAAACAGGAAACAATTTCACAGATTTTCAATTACACATAGAACTTGATATGGCTTGTGAAATTAGGAAGGAGAATAGTTCCACAATTGTAAACCTAGGCAATAAAATAACTCTGAAATATGACATATTTTTTGAAAACTTTCAACAAGAGATTTCAAGCAGTGATCTTGTTATAAGCCACGCTGGTGCTGGAACGTGTTTAGAAGTTCTTCGCAATAAAAAGAATTTGATCGTGGTTGTGAATGAAGACTTAATGGACAACCATCAAACAGAATTAGCCGAAGAATTACAGAATGGTGGTTATTTATATTACTGTACCTGTGATAATCTGGACATTGTTTTGAGGAAAAAATTTAATGCATTGAAACAGTACCCACTCCCGACTGATTATATTTTCTCACAATATTTGGGAAAATGTGTAGGGTTCATAGAATAAATAGTCAAATTTCTTATTGTTTTGTTTTTTCATTACCAACCAGCTACCACCTGCGAAAATTCCCAGAAGCTACCGGGAGACTTGGGCTAGAAAATGATACAGTGGATATCTTGCTTTAAAAAAAAAATATTGGTCACAGATAGAACTCTTGAGTTTGTCCAGGTGTTGAACATGTATTCAAAGATAACAAATCAGACTGCTCCCCTAAGTCAAGTATGGGATAATGACGGCTTGAAGATATATATTTCAAATTATTTGTACAAGAGTGTTGAGCAAAAGATGACTCAGAGTTTAGATGACAGAGAATATTTTAGAAAATGTTTCAAAAGTACGGTTCTACAGCTGTACATTTCGGCCTGGATGGCTGGATGATTGAATTATTAACTGTAATATCAGTTTCAGATAAATTTCGAGATATTCGATTAAAAAAAAGTTTTTTTTCGAGATTTTCTTATGAATATAATCACAAATATCACAATGTAAACTAAAGTTCAAAAATTTGTCCATCATAAATCTCATAGGTATACTAATTCATTGTTGATAGTAAAGTTAATGTTGTCATTACATTTGAATTTAGTTATTTGGTTGTAATAAATCAACAACAAGCTCAAAAAGAAGAATATAATAAGCTTTAAATTAATTCAAACCCATATATTTATTAAATTACACAATTCATATGATACAAGAGTTTGTCAAAGAAAACAATTTTTTTCTCATAATTTCTTATTTCAAGCACAAGCTACGTATTGTATTCTTATTTATCTGCAGGGGTAAATCTCGCGACAAACTTTTATGTGTAATGTAAATTAATTGATGGGTTCGTGTATTGGCCAAGTTTCTTCACGTAATATATTAGCTAATAATCACTCATTCCATTATCTGGTATCCTGCCAGAAACTTTTTGTTGCAGTATCATAAGCTGTAATAGTTATATCAATTGCATATTTATCTTGATTATTAGGAGGGGTTAGTCTAGTAGCAGATCCATCATTTTAAATAACTATTGACAACTCGTCAAGTACTGCTTCTATTGTATTTTGTCAGTTCGGACTTCCATTGCCTAATATAATATAAATTGATTTGAAATATCTGAAAAAAAAACAATCGAAAATAACAATTTAATCAAACAAAAAATTGAGATTACAAAGAAATAACATACAAGCAACAACCAAACAATTAAAAATTGAAATATTAGTAAAGGCTGAAAATTAAAAAATAAAAAATATTATTACCAAAAAATGAAAAATAAAAATTAAAAGATTCCAAACCAAGTTACGTCACGACGTTTCGATTGTTAGTATCCGCAATCATCTTCGGCTGATAACTGGACTTATTCATGGAAATTCATCTTCGTTTCAAGCAGGTTGGAGCCCAGCTCCCTTACCCTTAGGACTGATTGGACTTATTCCTCCGAGATCTGAGGAATAGGTCATTCGAGTGCTTTCACCTATCCCCTCTTCCCTCTCATCGCTTCAGTGGTTTTAGCGGTAGATGACCGCTTGGCGGAAGTTGGTCGTTTTTCGCTTGATTAGAGGTTTCCATATGTTACGTATCTCTACGCTAGCTTGATTAAATGCGTTGTTGGACAACATATACGCGGCTTCTTTGAATTTTCTCCTAAACCAGTGTTCCTCTTTGAGCCCACCTTCCTTTGTATCACAGAGCCCGAAAGCACGGTCTAGTAGAGTCTTGATGATTCCTCTTTTAGTCGATTGATGGTGGTTGGTTTTCTGGTTCAGATACTGTCCTGTGTGAGTGGGTTTTCGATATACAGATGTTTCCCATTTAGTGTCGATTCTCTTCACCAATACGTCTAAGAAAAGCAATTCGTTATCGTGGACTTCCTTCTCCATTGTGAAAGTAATGGAAGGACTTACGTTGTTGATGTGCTTCAGGAAAGTGTCTAGTTCTGCATTCCCATGGTTCCATAGTATAAAGGTGTCGTCTACGTATCTCAAGCAGACTCGGGGCTTCTAGTGGGCTTCTTCAATGGCCAGAGTTTCAAACTATACATATATTGGCTATAAGCGGTGAAAGTGGCGATCCCATTGGCAGTCCCTCATCTTGCGTAAAGAATTCATCCTTCAGTTGGAAGTAGCAGTTTCGTACACAGCATCCTAGTAATTCCATGATTACTTGTATCGGTAAGTTTGTTCTATTTTTCAGATCCCCATCTTCGGATAGTCTCTTCTGTATAATTTGAAGTGCTTCTTCGACAGGAACGTTGGTGTAGAGGCTTTCCACGTCGAAACTGATCAGTTGATCTTGCTCTTTGACTTAGATTTCCCCTAGTAGTTCAACGAAATGCCTTTAATTTTTCACAAAAGATGAAAAAGATGATGTTTTACCCTGCAGTGATTTAATTATTGGTAGTAAAAATCTGGACATGTTCTGAGTAGCTGAATCTCTGGAGCTAATGATCGGTCTGAGCGGTACATCCTTTTTGTGGATTTTGGGTAGTCCATACAAGTGAGAGGGCTTACTGTGGTGCGGTGTTAGCGATGATCTCTCTTTTTCTGAAAAATAGACTTGGTGGTTTTTCAAAGTTTGGTACAACTTCCTTTCAATTGATGCAGTAGGGTCTCTTACAATTTTTGTAGTTTCCTTTCTGAAGCACCTCTTCGATCTTCTGTTCGTAGAGATCAGTATCCATCACAACAGTAGCGTTTCCCTTATCTGCAGGTAAAATCTTGATGGTGTTGTCTCTACGTTGACCGTTCAGGGCTCTTCGTTCTTCATTGCTGATGTTAGAAGTTGGAACTGGTTCTCGATCTAGCTGTTCTCTGATTTTCCATCTGAATTCTTTCCTCAACAAAGATTTCTCTATGTCCGTCAGCGGGTGGGAACTTATGTTGATGACGTTGGCGGCTTCATAGTTGTCCTGTTGTCGTTCTGCATTTGGGCATTGTTTCCTCACCAACTTTCCCCACTGTTGACCCATTCGATATTGTGGACATTGAAGTCACCGAAAATGGAAATTTCGGCACTGGGATTATTGATTTGCAGAAAGTCAATGGTGTTTGCAAGTGAATAGAATAGTGCCCTATATGGTGTATCGCTTGGTGGTCGATAAACGCAGCATATAAATTTAGTGATCTGCTTGATATTATTTTAAACCACATAACATCAAAGTTTTGGGGTTCCAGCATTTCCTCTCGCTGACAGGAGAGATCGCTTCTGGTAAAAAGAGATATTCCAAAGTTACGTCTGACTCGGGAGTGAAAATCATAGCCTGAATATAGAAAATTGACGGGGTTTGTTGAAGCACTGACTTTGGTTTCTGTGACTGCAAGAATATGCAGATGTTAGTACACTCAGCTTATATTTGGGTTGAGTTCTCCGATGTTGCAGAAATCACATTTGGAAGTTGCTAATGGGTCTTTTAGCAACTGCAGTTACCATGTTATCTCCCAGTAGACTGATGTTAGAAGGACTCTGCTAACTGTCAGAAACAGTGGTTTTCGAAAAACTTCTGCAGGATGATGCCATCGAATCAGCCCTCACCCAGAGATCCGATTGGGGAGCTATTTTATCTTAGGAGTCTTTTGACTCTAGGAGCTCCATTATGCAATTTTTCCTTATATTCCCACCCTTGAAACCGAAAACAGCCGGAAGAGTACATAATGTTTGTTGCTATTGTAACTCTTAATATTCCATTGCAGTACACTAATATTTTCATATTTATTGATATTCATTCATGTGTTTGTGGATATTGTAATATTTATATCAGAGTTTTTTCTTTGTTAGATTGTGTCATAGAATTTAATTTGTCAAATAGTATGTGAAAATTATCAGGCATTTCTGTAATGGGAATATTTTCATAATCTATATTGGACGCATTATTACTAGTGAATATATTTGATTGGTAATGTATGCTATCATTAACGGGATATTTATTATAGGTGGAATATTATAGGCTTGTAAATCACGAGATTGTATGCAATTGGTACACATACCGTATCTTAAACATTGAATTACTAATATTCTACATGGTTCAACTGGCATTGAGACATTCTTTGATTTCAACTTATGTTGGCAAGGATTTTCCAATGAAAGTTGTTCCAGTTGGTACGAAGCCTGTTTCTTCATCAGTAACTACTTCTCGATTTAGTCTTTAGCTCTAAATGTTTCACAATTTGCTATCTTTGTCTTGAAATATTGTATTATTTCTTCTTCCTTTATATCTGTATCTACATATTTTATAATACCTTTGCATATATTATTAGATGGAATGAATGCCTCCAGTACTTTGTCTGCAAGAAATTTGTTATCATGAAATTATTTGCTGAATTGAAAGTTTTAAACTCTACCACTATTCTATTTTTTACTTTGTTTTAATTTTTTATCTCACCTATGTATAAATCATTTTAGCATTTGTCAATTGATGTAAATTTCCAAGTTTATATTCGGCTTCCTTACTAATGATTTCATTTCATGTATAGATCTCAAATGGCCCTGTATCCATATATGTAGGTATATAGGATAATTCAAATTCGACACCCACCATTGAGATCTCCTAAATTACAGGAGATACGTCAAAGTTTATATTTTGGCAAAGTTGCGTTTTTTGTGCTTAACAAAATACTGTTTTGAAACCCGAATAATTTCGGAAATATCTGGAAAAACTTAAAATCGAATTTTTTTTCTAGCGTTATTTTTGACAACAAAACCAAAAACACATTTTCATTGATACTTTTTTTCAGCTTCACGTTTTCATGTTCAGGTTTACTATCCGACGTTTCATCTATTACGGACGCCATATTGTTTTTTTCAAACAGAAAAATAGTGCTTTTCATTCTGAATTCATTGATGTATAATTCGTTATGATTTGTTCTTCTGAAACCACAGGTAGTTATTAAAAAAAACAACTTCATCTGAGATGGTGCATATGCATATTTCACAAAAATTACATCCAGGTGATCCTGTGAGGATGGAATTTTGTAGCTGGCTCTCGAATAGGGTAGACCCTACAAACTTCTTGAAAAACATTATTTTGGACCGACGAAAGTATTTTTTTGAACTGTGGTGTTCTTAGCACATTTGGAGTGAAAATAACCCACAACACTTCAGAGAAGTCAGACCACAAGTTCGGTTATGTTTGAATGTGTGGGCTGGAATTCTTAACGACTGAACACTTGGACCTCATTTCTTCTCTAATACTTTGAACGGGAAAACCTATCTTCGGTTCTTAAGAAACGAATTTGAAAAATATATGGAAACGTTTCCCCTTGTTAATTATAACAGCTGCTGGTTTCAGTATGAAGGAACTCCTCCACACAATAAAAGAGCAGTTTGCGAATGTTTACACAAACATTTCCTAATGGTTAGGAAATTCTGGACCAATGAGGTGGCTCACAAGGTCACGTAACCTTACAGTTTTGGATACAGTGGGTGAAATATAGAAAATATGATCACGCAATTTAGGTCTATCAGAAGAAGGGATATTGTTGGAGCTGTTCTTAATTTGAGACGACGAGCTCGCTTATGTATTCAAGAGGAATGTCATCATTTCGAAAACTTGTTATAATACTTTTTGTGCATTTTTAACAAGCTTATGATTTTTTCATTCTTGGTTTTTGAAACACACTGTTCTCAGCAAAGTGTTTGTCCAAAATAGAGAATAATGTTCTATCCGGCTGTTGTCTTTCTGGGAAATAATTCAAAAACACTTGCTACATGAATAGCATTTTACAAGTGTTGTTAATGACGAAGAATTTCAAGAACGAGGTTTTAATGATGAACGAGAACGGGAATGTTTCCTATTTATTCATCAAACTCAAACACCTGTTCATGCAGCTGCGGTTTCGTAAGAATGTATCATCTTTCCTTCCAACTGATTTCCTGGAGTCTTTGAAGTCCACTAGATACTCATTAGGACAACAAGAATACTCTTCGTGAGCAAAACAATAACAAAATAAATACTCCTGACCGCTCTGGATTGAATGATTCCGTACAGTCCATCTAGTCTTGCATTTGTGTTTGCTGGAAAAATCATCACTTGTTTACTTTGTAGTAAGTAAATGTTCAAGAGGTAACGAAAACTTATGTGAATTTTTGGAACTTCATCTAGCTTTTCCTAATATGACTTAATATCCAGTCTGTGCAAAGCTTATTGTTAAATCATCTGAAAATGGAATTTTTAACAGGTGATGATAGACTGTATTGCCAAACATGCGCCAAACTAACTGACTGTTATAAGGAAACAAGTATAGCTGAGGCANATATACATGTATTGTAATACATGTATATCTATAAGAACTACAACTATCTTAACTACAACTACCCTAATTCCTCATAAATAGAAATAGTAAATATAGATGTATAAAATAAATATAATGTCAACTGAGTATTGGAGTGATGAAATATTTCATTAAAAGCCATTGGTAAGTCAAGCAGTTCAAATTAGAAGCTTTGATAGTTTTTTTTTAGTAAGGCATATATTTCACATAATGTTTTTCAAGAATGTTTGACCAACAGAATAAGTTTTATGTATTATTCAAACATCTGAATAAGGAATAAGTGATATGTTACAATCTAAAATACCATCAAAAAATTTAATTTAGAAGTCACAATTGTACCATAGTCAGAAATTACATTTCTTTAACGGATGTTTCCTTAAGATGTATAAAATTCGTTTAGATTATAATTTCCAAGATTAATGTTTCCCAGAATTCATTTCCTGTTTCAGTACACCTTATATCTGCAGGCAGTTCATCATATATTTTCATACCACTGTTTATAAATGACCTTTTTACCAAGCTAGCTGCAGAGCTAGCTGTTGTGACAATTTTCTGAATAATAAGGAATTTTATTTTTATCAATGAAACCCCTGTTTCCCAAATAAATAATGAAGATAATTCTATTCGCTTTGCATAAGTACCTAAGTGCTATTTTCTGTAGTATGAAGATGGATTGGAAACATTAGACAGTGTATGAGCCCCAAAATTGTATTCCGTAATGACGGCTCGTACATTGGAGAACAGGGGAGGCTAAAGTCATAAAGACTATATAAAACACAGAAAAGCCCGCCTGAGGCGAGAAAATTTTTGGGGTACCGCACCTATTTAAAGCAAAATACGTTAATTTTCAAAAATGCAAACAAAAATTTGTGTATTGCCGAAATTATACGTATAAAACTGACCATTAAAAAACTTTGAGTTATTTAATATAAATCATTTTTAATTTTTCATTTTCAAACATAAAATTCAATAAATCTGAAGGGAACTTGTAATTTTGAAACATTTGAGGGTCGCTGTACATTACGATTAATTCATTTTTCAGTTGAATAACATTGAAAAATGGATACTGGGATATCAAGTCGTTATAAAGTTTTTAGGGAAAATCTTT